CACACTCGAGGGACCCGAGACAACTCTTCGACAATACAGAGCAATGAAGGAGCGAGAGAAGGTGACTCGATTTCTTTTAACCCTAAATGAAACTTACTCACAGTTCCGGTCACAGATTCTTGCGATGGAGCCGGTGCCGGCGCTTGGTCGAATCTATCAATTAGCCGTCCAAGAGGAAAGCCAACGCCTGGCCACGACCGAACACGCGCAAGTGGAAGGCGTCGCTCTCACGGCCCCGACAGAACTACCACAGCGAAGCATCGGGAGCTTTGGATCTCACCGAACTGCGAATGTGCGGCTGGAGGAAGAAAGAAACCCTAAAGGGTTTCGGGTGGATGGCCAGGATCAAAGACAGGGATCCAATGGCCATTATCTGTCCATCCAATCCGCCGAATCATATGGTCCATATCAAGCCACATCAGCCCCTGTTTTTAAACCATCTAATGGCCCACGTGGCGCCACGTCATCACAAAGGGGGAGTGGGCAAAATTCCAAAGGGAAAGGTAAATTTTGTGAATATTGTAAGCGTCCACATCATACAATTGATACATGCTGGAAATTACATGGAAAGCCAAATGACAAAGAAAAAAGAGAAAAAGAAATTACTGCTTTCCAGGTATCAGCACAAGAGACCAACAGGATGCACCAAACAATTACCTAAGATCAGTACCAGAATATTATGAAAGCTTTAGATCAGTTAAAAATCACCGATAAGACTGGGAGTTTTTCAGGTACTTCTTTTTCAAGGAATTCGATTTCAGTTGATGCATGGCTAATTGATTCGGGTGCCAGTGATCACATAATTTGCGATGAACAATTTTTTTCTCATATTCACAAAAGACCCCACTCTTCTGTGTCAGCACGTCTTCCAAATGGGAACACTACCTATGTCGATAAAATTGGCACTGTTCATCTCAGTCCAAATATTATCCTCAAAAATGTTCTTTATATACTTGATTTTGAGTTCAATCTCATATATGTTTCCAAAACCTGTGAGGATAATTCTTGTCGTGCCATATTCAATTCCAAAAATTGCTTCTTTCAGGACCATTCGACTGGCAAACTGATGGGCTTGGGTAGAATCGTACAAGGTCTATACTTCTGGACTAGTCTTTCGACAGATTTGTCTCAAAAGAAAGTCTCTTGTAATGCTACCACTAGAAATAAAATCCTTCTTTCTCATCAACGTCTGGGTCATAGTGCTCGTTTTCCTCATCCAAAATGCCCAATCTATCCATTGGCTAAGCAATCGCGAACATCATTCCCAACTAGTACATCTCGCGCTACTAGTGCTTTTTCATTGATTCATATGGATATTTGGGGTCCTTATCATACCCCACATCGTGATGGATCGCGCTTTTTTCTCACTATCATTGATGATTATACCCGCGCCACTTGGGTTTTTCTTATGCAATCCAAAAGTCAAACCTTTTCCAATCTGTCGAATTTCATCTCCTTAGTGAAAAATCAATTCGGCAAATCTGTCCAAAGAATTCGTACAGATAATGGGCGTGAGTTTTTCACTAGTGAATGCAAATCTTTTCTATCCTCTCGTGGGATACTCCATGAAAGCTCCTGCACTTACACTCCCCAACAAAATGGGATTGTTGAGCGCAAACATCGACATCTCTTGGAAGTAGCTCGAGCACTAAAGTATCAAGCTTCAATTCCTGAAACCTTTTGGGGAGATTGTGTGATCACGGCAGCCTATTTAATCAATCGCATGCCAACTCGAATTCTTGAAGGTCGAACTCCTTTTGAGATGCTTTTTGGGAAACAGGCTGAGATTAATCATCTAAGAGTTTTTGGATGTCTATGTTATGCGACGACTGTGGGCCCTCGGGATAAAATGGATCGCCGTGCTCTTCAATGTGTTTTCATGGGATATCCCTCTCTGCAGAAAGGTTACCGAGTTATGGAGATATCTTCAGGACGTTTTTTTGTAAGCCGAGACGTCATTTTCCATGAAGATGTTTTTCCATTCAAAGAACTCATAGCTCTGTCACGATCATCTGTCTCGTCCTTCGACCACAGGCCATTTTTATCTGAAGATGATTTATCTGCGGCTCCTCAATACATCTACGTTGCACCAAAGCCACCTATGACAACTAGTACTGATCAAGCAATTGAATCTCCAATGTTATCATCTGAGGAGGATCATTCATCTATGGCATCCCCACCACCTATTATTGACGAATCTTCTTCAGTAGTTCCTGAACAAATGATTGCTGAGCCACCACGTCGTTCTGGACGTCAAGTTCGCCCTCCTACATGGACCAAAGATTATATATGTCCTACATTGGATTCTTCAGGTACACATTATCCAAAATCCTCATATGTTTCATTTAGCCAACTATCAGCAGAACACATGTGTTGTATCAGTCGCATTTCTGAGGAACAGGAACCATCTTCGTACACGGAAGCAGTACATGATCCACGTTGGCAACATGCTATGGAAGCAGAGTTAAAAGCGTTTATGGAGAATAATACTTGGGATATTGTTCCATTACCCTCACATCGAAAACCCATTGGCTGCAAATGGGCATACAAGATAAAATACAAAGCAGATGGCTCCGTTGAATGCTACAAGGCTCGCCTAGTTGCTAAAGGTTTCACACAACGAGAAGGGTTCGATTATCACGAGACCTTTTCTCCAGTAGCCAAGGAGGTAACTGTACGCTCCTTTTTATCCATAGCTGCTTTCCGCAATTGGCAATTACATCAAATGGATGTCCATAATGCTTTTCTACATGGGGATTTGGATGAAGAAATCTACATGGAGCTTCCACAGGGCTTACGAAGACAAGGGGAGTCTCGAGTGTGTCGTCTCCGTAAATCCCTGTATGGGCTTAAGCAAGCCTCTCGGCAATGGTATGCCAAGTTTACTATTGCACTTACAAATGCAGGATTCCAACACTCCAAATATGATTATGCCCTATTTACATGGACCAAAGGTACATCATCAATCTATTTATTGATATATGTTGATGATATACTTATCATGGGAAGTGATGAATCTGCTGTTGAAAAATTCAAAGAATATTTGCAATCTGCTTTTCGGGTCAAGGATTTGGGACCTCCAAAATATTTTCTTGGCATTGAGATAGCTCGATCTGACAAGGGAATTTGCCTTAGTCAGCGAAAATTCATTTTGGAGATTATTTCAGAAACAAGATTGTCAGGGTGCAAACCATCTGTTATACCAATTGAGTAGAATGTCAAGTTAACGACATATGAATATGATGCGGGTTCATCTTCTAATAAAGATCCATTGCTTAAAGACCCGACAGGATATCAGCGGCTCGTTGGGAAATTGATATATCTCACCATGACAAGACCTTATATGTTATGCAGTACAGATTCTTAGTCAGTTTATGCATAACGCGAAACAATCTCATATGAATGCTGCATTGAAAGTCGTAAAGTATTTGAAGGGATGTCCAGGACTTGGTATACTCCTATCTCGAGATTGTGATATGAAGATGACAGCCTATTGCGACACAGATTACGCCACTTGTCCAATGACCAGAAGATCTATCACTGGTTTTTGCATCAAACTGGGAAAGTCATTGATTTCATGGAAGACAAAGAAACAATCAACCGTCTCATTATCGTCAGCCGAATCAGAATATCGAGCCATGGCGAAGACTGTTTGCGAAATAGTTTGGATACGAGGATTGCTCTCAGATTTTGGAGTGCAAGTTGATGGACCAAGCGAGTTATTTTGTGACAATGATGCCGCACTCAAGCTAGCAGCGAATCCGGTCTTTCATGAAAGAACGAAGCATATAGAGGTAGATTGTCATTTCACTAGTGATAAAATCCAGGAAGGAATACTTACGACTAGAGGAATTGGAACCATGGAACAACCTGCAGATATATTCACTAAACCACTTTGTCAAAGACAACATACATATCTACTGAGCAAGCTTGGCGTTTTCGACATATACAGGCCGCCAGCTTGAGGGGGAGTGTTGGAGATATGATTGGAAATATAAAAGGATATGATTGTGATATTGATTACGGAATAATTGATTCAGTTAATCCGTAATTGATTTAGTAAAATTGGAAATGTAATATTGTATATTGTTTTTCCTTTTTTTGTCTTTCCTTCTTGTACTATAAATTGCCTTGTGTACAAGCACATAAATCAGTGCAATACAATACAAATTCTCCAATATTTTTGGTTTCTGTCATCGTCCGAGTAAATAAGACGTAATGTTACATTAATTTCTAAAGAAAGCTTTGTCCAAATTAGATATCTTATCTATTCCTTTTATACCCAGTGCTTATAATATGTACAAATGACTGAATTTGGGTTTAACATTGTGCGATCACATATAGATAGTAAACCCATGGCAGACTTACCTAAGCAGCTGGATACAAATTACAATCACCACGAGCATAAGAATTAGTTTCAATTACCCATGTAGACACTATCGAATTATGCAGAAAATAGGTCAAAGAGCAATGCCCTGACTATTATTACTAACTGATTTGACAAATATATCATGAAATAAATAGTACTTATAAAAAAAAAATACAATTCAATTCTCTAGCCATTTAGAGTAGACCAATAAATACAAAATCCTATTCAATAAAGAAAAATCCCCCATTAATTCTTGAAGCAAAGTTTTTTACCAATGTAAAGTCATCATTTTTACCAAATGTCTGAATGAGAACTTCAGTTTTCCTAAAGATTTTATAGTGAAAATCACATAAAGATATCTATATATATATATATATATATATATATATATATATATATGTGTGTGTGTGTGTGTGTGTCTTTTATATATGCATTCGATACCTTCCAATCAGGAAATGCCACGTGGCCATATTCAGGCGGAGACAAAGTGAGAAAAAATAGCAAAAAACACTCAACGATGTAAAAACTCCACAGCTCATAACCTCAGGATGGAGATTTTTCCTCCGAGGAAACACCTGTTCTCGTTTCTCCCTCCTCCCTCCTCCATTCTCTTCCTTCTCCCTCTTCTCTCTTCATTTTCCTGGGGAAATTCGTTTCCTTTCTTTTCCTTTCCTTTCCTTTCCTACGTTTCAATTCTCAGCGTTTCTCATCATACCCGCTTCTTGATTTGGCCTCCTTGTCCATCTTTTTCCTGAAACTATATGGCATTGTAGTTCCGCGTATCATCGTCTCGCCGGCTTCACGATCACAAGAACGACCGAGATTCTATCCAGCGATTCGATGAATATGTTTCTCTGGTTCGTCTCGTGATTCCTAGAAGGTGTGTGTATGTATTCATGCACGCGTCGCTTTAGATGCTCGGTGATACGATTCGGTCTCGCATTATCGATTGAAGTCCGAAGAGATTTGTGATCCGTTCATTTACAAGAGAAGGCCTTGCGAAGGAAGGGGGCTACATATGAATGATGTCGTTCGACCATACTCATAGGGCGACGTCGCTGCCGAGCAAATCGCCGCCTCTGGCGGAGCGGATAACCGATGACCCGGTTACGATCAAGACGGCCCAGAGCACGGTGACGCTGGCGTACCAAGCCAATATCGCCGGGTACTGGCACAACGTCACCATCATATGGTGCAAGAACCTGATGAACCACTCCCTCAGCATCACGGTCGACAGCCTGGAGGGCGACTTCCACTACACGTGCAAGATCGACCTCAAGCCCTGGCATTTCTGGAGCAAGAAGGGGTACAAGTCGTTCGAGGTCGAGTCGAACCGGGTGGACGTGTACTGGGACCTCCGGTCAGCCAAGTTCTCGGGGAGCCCCGAGCCGTGCATGGACTATTACGTGGCCCTCGTCTCCGACGAGGAGGTGGTGTTGCTCCTGGGGGATTACAAGAAGAAGGCCTACAAGAGGACCAAATCCAGGCCTGCCCTCGTGGATGCTGTCTTGTTCTACAAGAAAGAGAATGTGTTTGGCAGGAAGACATTTGCCACGAGGGCCAAGTTTGACGAGAGGACGAAAGAGCATGAAATCACCGTGGAGAGCACGAGTTTTGGGCACAAAGAGCCAGAGATGTGGATCAACATCGATGGGGCCGTGGCGATTCATGTGAGAAACTTGGATTGGAAGTTCAGGGGAAACCAGAACATCTTGGTGAACAAGAAGCCTGTGCAGGTGTTCTGGGATGTCCATGACTGGATGTTCAAGAGCCCCGGCACCGGCCACGGGCTGTTCATCTTCAAGCCCGGGCTGGTCGAGGCGGAGAGCGACCGGGACGGGAGCAGCCGCGGTGCCAACAGCGACAGCAGCACGGCCAGCAAGTACTACTCGACGCGCACCGGCTCTACCGCCCCGGATTTTTGCCTCTTCTTGTACGCGTGGAAGGTCGAGTGAGAACGAGACGGGTGACGCATTTCCCGGCGATCTTCATCCTTTCGGACGGAGGCTTCGTTTCGCGTCTCGTCGGCATCATTGTGAAACTGGGAAATGCGCTACGGTTCATGTAAAAAGATTTCGTAATCATAGATTTTGTTACTGCGGTAAAGGTATCTTGGGAAGCAAGATTTCATATGGCATCTCCCATCTTCGTTCTTAATCATTATGGCAATCTCCATATAGTTCTAATTTCCAATTGTGGTTTGCTCTGGTCCTCTCTGCTGAATGAATTAGGCAACCAATTGTTGCAGTAATTTGAACAGAATTTTTGTAATAGTCAAAAAAGAAAAAGGGCCTTATGGCCCAAATCCAATGTCTTTTGGGCCAAGAATGGGCCGTTCGTTCCATTGGGCTTGGCCCATTGGGGTGGGGGGCTCGGCGGAGCCACGCCCGACCCGTTTCGTCAAATCGGGTCGACATGACCCGACCCGTTTTCTCGGCCGCGAGCCCGCCGGTCAAGTTCGACGCTCTCCGCCGCTCGGTCGCAGACACTCTCAAGAGCGCCGCTCCGGTCAGCGCCTCTCTCTCTCTCTCTCTATCTCTAGGTCGAGGAAGAAGGAGGAGGAAGGAAGGAAGGAACGAAGGAAGGAAGGAAGAGATCGAGGCCAAGCATAGAGCCGCGCGATCCACCGATCGAGCCATGAAAGTAGCCCCGACGGTGGTTCTTCTGCTCGACGACCAGGGCGGACTCGCCGGCGCCCTCCGACCCGACCCGGGCTCCGACCTCCGCCGCCTGTGAGCATCTCCTCCCCCTCCTCGTCGTCGATTCTCGCGTTTTGCTTCGCGATTTGATGTCGCCCGGTCGCATTTTCGTAAAGATTCGCGTGTCTTCGTCCCCAAGTTTCGATTTTTCGGAGTTTTTTTTCCTCTCAATCGGTTCTCGTTTCGCTGCAGGGAGGAATCGTTCGAGCTTCCGTTGGAGCGCTACGGCGTCGGAGGCCGCGGGGCTCGCGGGGAAGCCGTTCACTTCGTCGACGGCCATGGGGTTTATCAGGTATTTCGCCCGGTTTCTTGGCTATGTGCGTGCATGTGCGCGGTGCGCGGTAACTGGGGAACGAAGTTTCGCTGATGGATAGGTAGATGGATTGATTGTGTAATTTTGGCTGAAGACGGCCGAATTGCGGTGAGATGGTTATGTATGTTGCGGATGGTGGGGTTCCGGTGATGCGGCTCGAGTGAGGAGCAGGCAGAAAGAGATTGTGTTAGCTTACATTTTCAGCGGATTTATCGATATCCATGATTTAGGCGCGCTCTAAACATAATCGATATTGACCGAAATGAAGCTTCGTTTGACGGATCTCCGGCTTCGTTCGAAGGTTAAATTGGTCTGAAATCGGGGCAGTAGGGAGCCTTTCATCTTGAGGACTGGAATGGCATGTGCCGTGTGTACATGAGATGCCAAGCTAGTAATCTTCACGTGTGGTATCTGTTGAGGGAATTTGACAGATTATGATTTGATGCACTCGAGGTTGAATTTTCACTAGCAAGAGCTTCTATTGTCCATCGTTCTCTGGAGTTTAATTCTTGATTGATTGTATCATTCAGTTCTTTTCTAGTTTCTACAATTGCTCAAGTTTCCTGGCAACCAGCTATGACAATGACTAGAAATGAATTCTACTCGGTGGAAAAATTTATATTCGGTCCCTATTCCATATGGATGGCCTGGTTAATTTTTGTGCTTGATATGGAAGCATCAGCCTTTCCACAATCGCCTCTATCATAATGTACCTAAAAGTGTAATGCAGTGTCTTTCTGCTGGGAGTTACATTAAAGTACGGAAACTGGTTGGATCCAATATAATTAATAACTATTAAGAACTTCTTTTTGTGGCAGAGTATATGAGTATCTGCAAATGGAACATTCGTATATTGATTTTATGGGCTGGTTCTGCAGTGCATGTGTTATGCTTGCCTGTTTCCACTCTTGAGTAACGAATTTAGGTTTCACTAGTATCACCATTTCACGAAGTAAGAATGAGCACTTTTTTTTAAGTTTGGTATATCTGGTGACAAACCTTTAGCGCAACCCCATAATTACAAAAATCTCAAATCGCAAATTCCTTTTATTCTCATCAGTAACCAGATGCATTAACCATTGCACAATTTGCAATAACCTGTTATGAACGAAATTCTGTTTGGAGGTATTGAGGTTATATCAGGGAAATGTGCAGATTTTCTTCAAGGAATGGCTGAGATAATAGTCTTGTTGTGCTTTACTTCGGTTTCTGATGTCCAGACAGACGGTGCATTGACGTGAACTTTGTCTTAGTCTGATTCTTATTCTTTAGCCCGTCTTCTTGATGTAATATTTTGTGTGGGGCACTTAATTCTTTTCTCTTTTTTATCATAAATTTATTCTTCTGTTTTCTTCTTTTAATGTTTGTTTTAAATGTTAAGGTGTCCATGCTGCAAATGCAAAGTTACAAGCCACCTGTATTGGCTTGTGCACTCAATGAAGTTTTGGCACAACTAATGGATGATACATCAGAAACGATGCCTACTCTTCTAGTTCCCTTTATTTCATCGTCATCAAACCTCAAGTGGGAGACAAGAAGTTTGCCCGTGGACAGCAGAAGAATATCTCTATACGGCCTGCAAATAGGGAGAGAAACAGACGTCACTCGTGCTATCATGGCCCAAACCCAGAAGCCGCCATCATCCATGGAGATCCATTATGAACCTTTAGCTTGCTTTCTTCAGCTTGTACGTGTCTTAAAGTTGCCAACTGTTATTCTAATTGGAAGGGTAGGTGAAAGATTTTCTGAAAAGGGGTCGACAGATGCTCTTGAGGTACTCATTTTCTAGACTTTTTATATAGTTTGGAATCCTAAAAAGGTGTATATCTTGATTCTTAATATCACTATCATTATCATTTGTGCATTGACAATGAGAATGTAAGTATTTAACATTCATGGGAACACCATGGTCCCCCCTTCCTCCTAGAATTATTAGCTACTAACAGTATCTTTATTTGATTGTTGTCCTTTTCTAGACAATTCACGCCCTGGGAGAGCTTTTGGCAAACAATGTGGGGTTGTGCTTTTCCCGTGACAAGGTTGTGTGGAGCAATCCTTCAAAGACGTCAAGGGATGAAGAAGAGCCATGGCGGGCCCTATATGGTTGAATACCTATTACTTGTGATGGCTATGGTTGGGTATCTGACTTGTCACTTGATGCATCTGCTGTAAGATGATTAATTATTTAGACATGCATAATGTCAAACTAAAGGCCAAGACAAATTTTCTAGAATTTATAGCAAATGCATGACATTAACCTTCGAATTCGCTCGCAACAGTTGATGCATCTTGAAATTTTTTAACACTGATCCATATTTCCTTTGTGTCCCTGCTGACTGAGAATATTGTAAGAGATCATTTTCCAAAGTTTTTGTCTCGACTGTCTGAACTATGAGAAGATTATTATAGCACTTGTACTGGTCGAGCTTCGACAGCTAATGGAATCGATCCTCCTAGTTTTTACCCCGTGGTTGGACTTGACATGTACACCTTTTTACTGCTCTCTACAGAACTCTTTCATTGTTGTTTGTTGCCCCCTTATGATACTTGAAAGAGAGACAAACATTTGAATTGCTGCGTTTGTCTGGGTGGCTTCACATCTTGATCACACGATCAGATTTGATCGGTTGAGTGATCCCGCACCATTTGATGTTTAGCAAAGTCCACATTGCAGAGAGGACATGTTGTGCTTCATAAGTCCCCCTTTTATGTCGTGTTGTTTTCGTACGCATGTACAACTTACTATCCAAGTGGCTTGAGTGGTGCATCTCTCTCTCGGTGATGTTAATTGCAAAACAATAGTGCTAATTTACTTGATCGACGAGATGCTTGATCTCAAATGTATTTGAATTTTGGCTTTAGGTTAATCGCTTTTTTACTACCCCTGGTTTTTGTAGTGAGCCGTCCAAAGTTTGGGCGGCAGTTCTTAACATGATAAATTTGCCGAGAGAAATCCACAATCGACATGACACTACACGGTTTGCTCAAAACCGACAAAAGTTGGTACGAGATCGAGCCTTTTGAACAAAAAAAACTTTACAATCATAGCGAATCATTTTAGAGATGATACGAAGTTATCCGAATAATCAATACGAATGAGATGACACGATAGGAAAAGCCATTTCTACTTTCAATTGAGGTTATATTCCTAACCGATGAGCTCGGATCTCTGAATAATTCCTAAGATTGTTTCATCATCTTGCACTTATGCATTGTACAATTTATTATCAAGAACAGGATGCCCATTATGCAGTAAGCAGTCAAAGCATCATAACTGGATCACTTGCCACAGAGGCTCATAAAAGTGCAGGTTCCCTACTTGAGCACTGGCATGACAATGACTAGAGATACCCACAAGCTCAATCAATCCTCTTGGCCTTGGCCCAGTTCAACTTTATTCCAATCAAATGAATTTGACCATTTTTTAAAAAAAAATTTGGGATGAATCGCTGCAGATAATAATAAGAATGATAGGGTTTATACTTTATGATATAGGGACACGCCATCTTTTCTTCAAGACCCTATCCCATGTTGCTCATGAAAGTCCCTGAAAATAGCTTAGCTTTTTAAGTTCACTTGAAAGTCAACAAACGAAAGTTTCATAACCTTTTTTTATCAAAGTAAAATAAAGGAAAAATACCCAAAAATTGAAATTTCGCTCCTTGTTCATCTCACCAAACTCTTTTCAAGTTTTTCAGAATTTTCCACAAAATTTCTCATCGCCCCAAATTTTTCCATAAAATAGCAACAAAAGAAAAGGAAAAAGAAAACGGGAAGGTGAAGGTGAAAAAAGAGGAAGAGGTTTCCAGAGGGACAAGGAGATGGGGGTTGGCAGTGATGAAGGAAGGGGTGCAGGACAAAAGGTGTACCTGTTGATTGCCGCCAAAGCATCAAAAGACAAGATCCAGCAAACAGAAAAGCCCCCCGAGTAAAAAAGCCAGACAGAAGCGTTTGATTGCAGGTACAGGTGTAGCTCAGTAAATGGCGCGGTGAGAGAGTGAGTGTGTGTGTGACAAGTGCGTGTGCGTCGTGTTTGAGTTGACAACAAGTAGCGGATTAGCAAAGCTGAATTTAATAAGGAAAACCAAAACAAGAGGAAATAATAAAAGAAGAGTGACAGACGGAGAGGGAGAGGGAGAGAGAGAGAAGAGTTTTTATAGGAGGGACCGAGGAGGGAAAAGGAAAGGGCCTAACTTTTTGCCTTTCACTAATGGGATCGACAATGGGTCCTACCAAGACTGCACTTTTTCCCTTTGATAATATTAAATTTCTCTCCTTTTCATCTGTCTCTCTCTCTCTCTCTGCACTTTTGATGACTTTTTGCGTGTGTCGTATCAGCTTATGTCACATTTTCTCCCCTATTCATTACATTCACATGCCCCCGTCCTATCCACCTTGGCTTCTTTCTTCCCTTTTTTCTCTTTCTATCTGTTTCTACAGTTCAGCTGAAGGAGTTCCTCCTGTTTGGACTTCTCTCGTTTTCCGGAAACCTCCATCCCTCACCAATCTCAGGTTCCTTTTCTTGATCTTGTCTCGTGAGTTCTTTCTCAGACCCAGAAAGGAAAAACGCACAGAAAAGCTGATCTTTTTTTTTCTTATGGCTTTCTGGATTCTCTTCTGTTTTTCTTGTTTGAGCTTTGTTTTCTGTTAATTGTATCTGCTTTTGTTTCTCATTTTCTCTGCCTTCTGCTTAGTTAGGTCTTGAGCTCCGTTTGTGAAGAGGGGGATGAACATGCAGTTATGTGTCTTTTTTCTTTCTTTTTTGCCTTGGAAATTCAGTCTTCTGGTGGTTGATGTGGGTGCTTATGAATTTTGCTGTGAATTATTTCTCTAAGATATGCTGAATTGGGGGGTTGTTGTGATTTTGTTCCTTTGGTTTGTTTGATTTGCTTTAAGTGTTATTGCTTCAATTTGATAGTGAATCTCGTGCCATCACTTTTTTCAGGCTTGTAATTTAATTTCTAATTTCTTTGGTTTGCTCATCTGTGATATGAGAAAGCAGTGTAATTGTTATTCTGCGTTTTAATAATATAATGCAGAACCTGATCGTTGAAAAAGCGGATTCCCAAAGATAAAGTATATATCTTCATGCCTTTTTTGCCCTTTTATCTTTTGGATTCTCAAGTGAAAAAAAAATGGATGCCTTTTTGTTAAAAACTATTATCTCTACATTCCATCTGAAGCAAATTTTTCTCTCTCTCCGTTTGCCTTCAAAGTTAAGTCTTCAGTTGTTGCTGGAGTCAGAAACTACTTTTCTTGCCTTTTATGGTCACCACCACGTCTAATTTCAGAGTTTTCTGTACATAAGAGAAAAATAATTGCAACTGTTTATATTTGTGTTTATTGGTTAAAAATGAATTTGCATTGCAGTTGGCATCATATTGAGTGGTGGAAGAAAGCTTATTGTCATGCATGGATGGTTGGAACTGATTCTGGGTTTCTTTTCTTATAGGAAAGCATCTCCTTTGGTAACAGCATAGTTCTCGAGGACTGTCAGCCTCTCACTGAGTTGAGGACATTTGCACAATTTCACTAATATTGGACATATGTTGAGCATCTAAGTCTGAGAGGTTCTACAAGGTTTCGGTTTGTTTGAGAAAGATTCCTCGGAGGAAATTGGAAGGTAAAAAATGGGGTTCATCTGTGATTTTTGTGGGGAGCAAAGATCTATGGTGTACTGTCGATCAGATGCAGCTTGCTTATGCTTATCATGTGATCGGAACGTCCACTCCGCTAATGCCCTGTCGAGGCGCCATTCAAGAACACTTCTATGCGAAAGATGCAATTTGCAGCCTGCTTTAGTTAGATGCATTGAAGAGGGGGTCTTGCTTTGTCAGAATTGTGATTGGACGGGTCACGGTGCCTCTACTGCGGCTTCTGGGCATAAAAGGCAAACGATAAATTGTTATTCAGGATGCCCGTCTTCTTCTGAACTTTCCTCGATCTGGTCATTTGTGTTGGACTTGCCTTCAATTAGAGAATCCAATTGTGAGCAGGGATTAGGTTCGATGCGCATCATTGAGAATAGTGAGAGGACTACTTGGGACACTCTAGACAATAGCACCAGCCTAGATGCATCTTCTGTTTTGCAGGCCGACAATGTGGCAGATGCTTTGGTAGGTTCATCTTCATTACCTGAGCTTAAATCCATGTCGCAGAGTCTGGGCCAGCTGGCTCTACCTGTGAATACATTGAATAAGGTATGTACTTACTTTTTGCTTGCTTAGTATCCCTCATTTTTATTCTGATTACTTAGGTGACTGACCTATATCACCAACTTGAAAGGAAGGACTATGTGCCTATGCTGGGAGGATAAAAAATTTGGTTGATAAATCTCTTATGCTATTCAACTGACATCTATTGTTGGCTACTGGCTTAGTATAAAAAGCTGGGACTGGGCAGCAAACAATTAGTTTCTTGTATGTTGTCTGTGACGACTGACACAGTCTAGGCTATAAACAGGAGGAGGTTGCAGAGAACTTTTCTTAAACTTTTATCCTATTCTTTTTTTAACTTTATTTTTTCACTATCATCTGCTGAGTTATGTGTGAATGTGCATTGTATTGTATACGCTTTACTCGGAAAAAGAAACTGTTAATAATCTGTCGATTCTATCCTACTGAAGTACCCCTTATGAAGTTTTTTTCTGTTTTCACGCAATTCTTCGCAATTTCCAACTCATTTTGTGTTTTACTAAATCCAATGCCTGTCCTATACCTGAAACGTGAGGTTTTTGTATTAATCGACTACTGGCTTCTTCACCTCACTTATTAAGATTGCAATCTATGATGGACAACAACAGAATAGCAGTACCAACAAATGACAAAACAAAGCCTTTTCCTTTTGCAAGGTATTGGCTATAAGGATTTTTTGTGGAATTTGTCTCTATCTTCCTCAATGTTCTCAGTAGGATACATATTAACTTACGTAACACGTCCTTTACACAGTGTTTCCTTCTAGTTACTGTAAGGTTTTCAACCCTTTTGACCTGCCCTTATTACAAGTCACATGTTCTAAAGGGGCATCTGGGGTGTTCGACTATCAAAACCACCTTATACAAGCTTCTCATCTAGTCCAAATCAACAAATACGCAATTCCCTTCCTAATCCAATCATCCTCTATTACCTATGCATACACTGAAACATTTGCATCTCAGCCATGTTCATTTTATGTACAATGATGTTGGGCACTAAACGCTGTCTCGTAAAGCATTCGCAATCAATTTGTAGTTGTAAAGAGTTTCCTTGTGAGTTTTGTTGGCATCATACTAGTAAGCAAATGCCAGAAGTTACTTAGGCATTACCTACATGCAAGTTGGATCCTTGGGAAGTCTTCACATCCCCCCATGTTTTTCTAAAATTTGTCTAAGGTACTGAATCGCTTCACTTGTTGGTAGTTCAGTTTTATTTAACTCATTGGATTGCTTTTTGCACCTTTTGCTTTGCTAAATTTGCACACTGGGCAATCTATGAGATGTAACATTTTCTTGAAAAGTGTGGTGTGTTTTGCTAATTTCACTTTATTTATGCAATTCTTAGAGTACTCTATAGAATTTCCCAAACTTCAGAGCTTAGATTGCTGTTTTGATGACTGACAATGTCTGTCTCTATGCATCAAGATAACATGGTATGTGATTCGTTCAGATGGCAATCAGTGTCCATATGCGCACATGCAGAAGCCTAGCCTACTTATGATGAACAGAGAACAATGCATATTTGATTAGTTGTTGGTTATTTCTGCTTGTGTGCTGTGTAGGTATTATGTGATAAAAAGTTAATTCTTCCTTTTTAAATGACTGTTATCTAAATGTGCTTTTTCTAACATCCAGGTCTGCTATCCAATGTCTAATCCTGGAGTCTGTTATGATGATCTATATAAGGAACTTAATATGGATGAAGTAGATATGAACATCGAAGATTATGAAGAACTTTTTGGCTTGACTTTAAATAACTCGGAAGAACTTTTTCAAAATGGTGGACTGGATAGCTTGTTTGGCTCAAAGGATATGTCTGCTGCAGATTCCAACTGTCAGGGCGGTCTCCTTGCTGAGGTATATTGCTCATCGATGATCACACGTTCCTGTTTTGAATGTTGATGGAAAACCGACTTTATTATGTTAAGAATACTAAGGTTTTGATTGTAAATGTGACGTTCGCAAATTTTCTTTTTCTTGCTCTTCGAACTTGGTTTTCAACAAAATGTAAAGGTCTTACAGCATGATTTTGTGTGTTATCAAGTGAACAAAATCCTTAGAGTCTTTATGTCAGAATCAGTAGATACATATGCATGCTCTACCAAAGTGTTTTTACTGGTTTCAATACTGTAGAAATGCGACAGAGATTGAAAGATTAACAGACAGGCTATGTTGGACATCGCGCAATAGAAATGATGCCTGTGATGTGGCACGGATACCTGTGTCTCCTCGTCTTTAATGGAATATACCTTTTAAATAACTCGACCAGTAGTGACACATCACATGGAAGATTTGCTCTTTTGTTATATGTTCTTGTTACATGTTGACCATCTAAGAGAAAATGTTCAACACTCCATCTATAAATTTTGATCCACTTCTCTTTTGTCCTTGAATGACTCTTGATGTGCCTAGGGGAATGTACACACTAATTAACATGGATCCTTGGTTTCGTTGTACTTGGAAAAAGATTTGGCATAAAACTACAAGTGCTGCAAACTCCATGCTGCAGCTTTATGGTTGTTAGTTATGGACTGTAGATTCTGCATTCAACTCCCCGAAAGACGAGGTTTTTGGACCAAGAATTCTGGATGACTTATAAAGGCAAATGGAATTGGATAGCATGAAGGGCCAGATCTCAAGTAGCTACTTATATTCTGATTGGTGGGACAGAAAATTGGCCACTCTAGTTCGCAAAAGATTGTGTGTAGGTGGAGAATGAAGGTTTGATTGGTTGAAGTAGTGGTGAGGGGGTGGTACTGAAAATGGGGGATTCGGAACGAGACAGGGCAAGGAAGCCTGGAAGTATGAGCACAGAAAGACTTGCTTAAGCTTTTGATATTTGTGAATCTCTCCCATGGCCAAATTGGTCAATAGTGAAGATCCCAAAATTTCGACTTAAGAGTTTAGTGAAGAGGACATTCTAAAAAGTCTTGACTATCAATAAATAGCATTCTCAAAAGTCTTCAACATCAATTTATAACATTCTTTCCTTACCAAAAAAAAAAATTTATAACATTCTTGCTTGCACTGATTTTACTGTGCTGAGCCTAACCGGTTTTGTGACAGCTATGTTTCTTCTTGTGTGGTTGAATTCAAGATGCTCTAGCATTGGTGTTCAAGTAGTCCTGTGTTTCAGCCAACAAGTAGTCCTGCAGTTGAAGTTCTTCATTTTAGAAACCTAATTTTGATTATTTCTCTTAAGTTAGGTTCCTTTCTGGCTTGCTGTGGTTTTCTGTCAACTATTGTTGCTTTAATACTTCTGAGATTTGAACTTACCTGAGTCCAAAATGATGCTGGGAAGTCCATGACAGAATTTCTGTTTTAGATTTTCAAGCTACTTACAGAAAACCTACCGCAAATTACTTGTGATAACCCGGCCTTTGCGAGCTTCAATCTTAATTGATTGTCTTGGATCATGATGCCATCTGTCATTTAATTTCCATGTGTAGTATGCATGTTGTTGCTATTTCTGTGTAATCACCAAGTTTCTTACACACTGCGGCTGTGGTGCCTTCTTTACCCAAACAACAAACTTTGCAGGCAGTGAATAGATAATGTGATATGTTGATTTTCGTGGCATGCAGTAGATTTCAATCGGTTCAACTTCTATGTTTGGTCTGCTTCCTGCTGGCTGATGCAGATTAGTATCCCCGTCTGCTTTCATTCTTTATTCAGGGATCATCTGTTGGAAGACCGACTGCCACGCAGCCGGCTTGCAGTGTAGCATCGGGCGACTCTATCATGAGCTCAAAGACCGAACCTATCCTTTGTTTTACATCCAGGCAAGCCCATTCGGGCATCTCATTCTCAGGTCTTACTGGAGAGAGTAGCGCCGGAGATTATCAAGATTGTGGGGCCTCTTCCATGCTTCTCATGGGGGAGCCCCCCTGGTGTCCCCCAGGTGCTGAGAGTTCCGTTCGATCTACAAACAGGAGTAATGCCGTCATGCGTTACAAGGAGAAAAAGAAGACGAGAAAGTGAGTGCTTTTCTATCCTTTTAGGGGATATCCTAGCCTATTGTTTTTAAAGGATCAGCTATTGCATCTACTGCTGCAAAATATATGAAACAACATATCAGTAGTCAAACTCTCTATTCATGTAGAGACCAATGACAAAAACGCTCTTAAGATTCATTTTTTATTGATGATACTTTATTTTGTTGACAGTCAAGCCTTACAGTCAAATTTAAAGCTTTAATTATGACTTTATCAAGATAGATTAAAAAACAAGTAATCTTCAGCCCAACAACTTGGTTTTTTTGGGAGAAGATATTCTAATTCAAAAGAGATGTGGCATGACGTGTATAAAAAATGGTTAAATGACTTTTGAATTACTTATCTTTTTACTTATTGTCTGGCATATTTGTGTTTGTCATACTAAAAGTTAAACATGATATGAGTGTTTAAAATAAACTATGTATGGACGACAATCATTTTGCATAACACCAAATTTTTTTACTAATAAAGTTAGTGCTCTGTGTTGTTAATATGCCAAAGGTTCCAAATCTTGTGTTTATAACCTACATATTTATTTTTCATTTGTTCACCAAATATCATTGAGGTTGTATTCGAAAAAAGTTGGATAGGTAGGTATTAGAACAGAATATAACTTCACAAGACTGGTTCCCGAGATAAGATAAAATGCAATGAGGAAGGGTGTTGAGCCATTCACCTTTTAAAAGAAAATATGGGAAGATCCTTTCTTGCCTATGTTATCATCATCGTTGTATAATTGACCATATTGAGATGGACTAGTATGGATCCTCTATGCCTAGACACCCTAGTATTGGACCGTTAAAAGCTGAAGGCATGATAAAATATGATCGAATGCAGTAAGGGACATCCCACTTCTTCACTTGAACTACTCTAATATTTGGAACAATGCTGCTCTCCGACCAGTCTGTCTCTCTGGAGGACAGACGAGACAGACAAGATAGCTTCCCCATCTTTCTTGAATCAATATTCTGAATGTATTGCAGTCATCACTCTTGTCTACGTATGTTCTTATGAGACTCTAAACGGCGTGTGATGCTGGATAGTCTGTGTGTTGTTTTGACTTAGAAATATGGTCTATGGTTTGATGGGGTGATGTGTGGAATTGATAAAATAGAAATTATATTTGGTAGGTTTGAGAAGACAGTGAGATATGCATCACGGAAAGCAAGGGCTGATGTGAGGAAGCGAGTCAAGGGGCGTTTCGTGAAGGTTGGTGAAGCTTATGACTACGATCCACTCAGCCCAACCAGAAGCTACTGAGAGTACGTTTTTTAACTATACTCACAGAAAGGAAAGATCTACTCGTATGTTAATTGGAAACAATTGGTCATATTTACCTGGATAGTAGCAAAATTATGACACACTTCCAACATTCAGTGATCAAATGTGTATTTGATTACAGGAGCAGCCGTATTTAAGGACAAAGACGAATGTGAAAGGTTGATGATACAAATCAAGACTGGTAATACAATGATGAAGAACTAATGAGATGCGACATTTACAGACCAGAAGCGGTAGCATTTGCTTTTGAGTAGGCAGGTTTCTTTCCAAATTCTATGAACATGTTTACTGCTGGACTTTTTTGGGCAAAAGGGCTATGCTTCTGGAGAATCCAGCCGATTACATTCTGTCCTTTGTGGAAACATCCATCCAACTATGCTTAAGCTTTTCGGTAGGTTTTCGTGCCCTGGCTTCTAGAGATTGTCTGTGCAGGCATATGGCCAGGATGAATTCACATAGGTGAAACTTTTTTTCAGGTTTCTATGTCACTTGACAGTGTACAGTGATAGGTCTTATATTTATATGCCTTTGGGGGGGAGGGATGATGTCCATTGCACACCGGTATCACAGGCCCTCTTATAAGGTGGATCATGTAGGATCATAGTGTATGTAGGAAGGAGCGGTTTGTAAATAATGAGAGTTTTCGCCTCTGAATCTATTGAATCCAACTCCTGGCAGAAAAATGTTGTATAGTTATTGAGTTGCCACAATTGGACATCGCAGCGTAGGGAGGATCATTTGCGAATGGTTCATGTTGTAAAGCGAGGTTATGTTATCTATGCAGAGTCTCTTATCATTTTAGACCTACATATGCTTGTTTCTTGATGTGGCCCTTTGAGGAAATCCAGGACTAGGAGGTGGTCTCCTAGTCGTGATCAATTTGGTAATGTAGAGTTGGACCATTTCTTTACAAGCAATTTTATTGTCAATTTTCTGCATAAGGTAAGGATTTGGTCCTAAGGGAATATGTTGACTGTTCTACCTTGGTGTTCAAAAGGTTGCAAGCTTAACCTCCTGATGTATGTAATTCCTCGCGTTGGTTTTCTTTTCTGTCAGTGGAAAGTATGCCTCTCTCGTGATGGAGCTTATCCAAATCGAGTTAGAAAATCAACGAGATGATCAAAATTTTTTACTCTGCTAGATGAGTTGAATTACTATGCTCTCCAGCGTGGTAAATATTAGCCTTTTCAATCCTGGTCACATCCAAGGATAACTTAGTAAGCTCGAGCTTGAACGTGGATATGACACGTGCATCGAAAGCCAGCGAAAATACTAGAAATTGTAAAGATCCGGCATCATTACATTTCCTTGTGTTAGATCGTAATCAACAGGCAGACATGCTCATGTTCTACTTCAAACTAGGCAAAAGAAAAGGTCAGGATCGGGTTCTTAACTGCGTAAGTTCCTCGACTTTTACAAGGGACCGTTCCTTGCCAAACTGTTCAAACTCATGCCTTTGTAAATTGGGTATTTGATTGTTCAATCAAAGAAAGTGGGCATAAAGTCTACTGTTTCGACCAAATAGCTTAGACAAAATTCAGAGAGCCAATCGAACAATCAAACGTTTGAAAAGTTTATTAGAAACTTTGAAGAGACAGAGACTCAGCAATGTCTTTTTGGCCGCGAAGCTAAACCCGAGCAGTCCATTACTCAAGCTCCTAGACAATCTGGTCCAGTGTGATCATGAAATCGAGTCTTCTACAAATGTTTGTCACCCAAATACTACTACCAACTCTATTAGCAGAACAAAATTTAGGCCAGGGTCACTTTATAATGCATGACAAATCTCCCGTGTGATGAGCACAACCAGGTAGTTAGTTCATCTCAAAACAATGCTGAGGTCCTGTATAGTGAAAAGAAACTTTTTGAAACAGATGTTATACGCATTTGCATATTGTAGGTACAGGAGTCGAAATTTAAATTAGAAGAAAAGGAGAAATCCTTGAGAAAGATGTCTGATGTCACATGACTGGAACTTCCGAAGCCAACCCAAAAATTCACCCTACGGATTCTCTTGGAAATAATGTTTGTGAAGGTCAAAACAATTAATCATCGTCCGAACTGCTATCTTCCGATCCTCTCCCGAAATCTTCTTGCTCACTCGATTCCTATAGTTAGGTTCGAGGTTAGATATGCATTCCCACCGAATGGGAGAGATAAAAATGGAACTTAACACTATACATGCATGTGCATGTGCACATGATCGTATCTAGTGAGAGAACTTACCTGCATCTTATCCCAATCCTTCAACTTGGAATTTGTAAGCATGTAATTATCTCGTAATGGAGCCCAAGCAGGTGGTTCACTGTCTCCAGCAACAGTAGACGTATGAATCTGCATTTCATTCAGATCACGCAATCATTCATATTTGTCCAATCGTATTCATTTCAGATACTACATACTGAAGTGGTATGCCAGCTCCATGAATAATCAAGAGCGATAACTCAACAGATCAAAAACATAGGGAAGAACCTCAGAAAAGAAAGAAGACAGACAATAGGAAGTGCAAAATAGTATGTTCAGAGGGAAACCCTACCTTAGCTGGAGCTTTGGCTGATGAGAATGACGGTTTGCTCAGTTCAGAAAAGAAGGCTTCTTTCCTCCTCTTCTTTATTGCTGCAAAGTGCCAGTCAAGACCATGTTCAGAAAAAATATGCAGGTTATAAAGCACTTACATGAATCATTGATAACAAAAAAGGATTATTTCAAAAACCATCTCCACTTTTATACCATATATCAATTTACATCTTCACTTTTGAAAACCTACATTCTGTATCGTGTTTTGTTGCTAGATTTCAACTTGCATCTCTCGACCATGATCCTTGTCTACTTATTTGCCAAACTACAATTTCCCTTCCCAAATTGCCCTCATCACCCCCTTCTCCCAAAAGAAAACCTTAAGGCTAAAATCCCTTCCCCTTTCCTCCTCCTCCTCCTCCCTCTTCCCCGACCCTCTCAGCCACCGCCGCCAAACTCAGCCACCAATGCCAGCACTTTCTCAGTCCGAGCCGTCATCTCCGATGGCTCATCCCCGCCCAACGTCCTCCACCCTTGCCGTTCACCGCGTCCCAATCCCCCCACTCCTCCGCACACTTGGCCTCCTCGCCCTAGGCCATTGAGACCCACACCAACCTTCGATTGGAGGTCGGCGACGGTCCAACGTCCATGAAAGCTCAGATCAAGGTCGGGCCCGACCTCAATCCAGGCATGGAGCTTGCCGAACTCTGAACATAGCTCGAGCCCGAGCTCCAAGGCTACCATGACTGAGCTCTGAACAGAGCTCGCCTTGTCGGACCTCCACAGAGCTCACATGTGAGATGAGGGGGGCGGATCCTGGTGGTTCGCGTGGTGTTGGTCATCGGGCGACGGCAGGCAGCATGTTAGTCAGCAGTGGGTGGCGGCAAACATGGAGACTGATGTTGGATTTGAACACTTTAAACCTTGAATTGGTTAGATGGTGGTGGATAGTTTTTTTGTTGTTTTCTATTTAAAAGAGGGGGCAAATTAATCTTTTAAGCTTTGGATTTTGTCTGGAGGTGCAAATTGCGAGTTTTGAAAAATGAGGATGCAAGTTGATATAGATGACAAAACTCAAGTTTGTTTTTGAAATTTTTCTTAAAAAGATTAGTAATTAAAGAACAAAGGCAGCTCGTGATAAACTAATTAAAAAAAAAAGAAAAAGAAAGAAAGGGTTGAAGCAAAGCATATTCTCAAAGCTTTCTGGGATGAGAGGAAGCAGGCTTGGACTTTTTAAATAAAAAATACAATCATATGGCAGTGCAATTTAAGAAGCTGGATTGTATATGAACTTCATCAAAAGAAAATTTTTCAAAAAAATATTGTGATAGATAAAACTTTCAGATAATAAATACACTGAGTAGTATGCCACCATAGGCAAGAAATTTACGAACATAATCATTTAACATGAGACTTTTTTTGCCAAAATTTAACATATATTTTATGTAGAATATTTGCTAGATAAGATCTGTGCTAGGTAGTAGGTATCGGTTGAATACAATATGAAATGCAACAGACCAAACAAAAAGATTAGCATTTGGAAGTAACCATATTTCCAAGCACAAGCACTAAAGTCAAAATTTTATAAAGTCTAAGTAGATAGGATTCTCTGCAAGGAGAAAAATTGGATCACTATTAGCTCCGCCCATCCCTCGTGGATAAAGGTCTTAGCTGGAGAGAAGTTATTAAAAGTACCAGAACAAACTAGATGCCAGGTTTCATCTCTTAAAGTAATTGAAGAAAATTGCAGTTAAAGACTTGTTCAAGAATAATTTCGAAAATGAATAGTCAATTATAGTCATATGGCAGACAACTTAATTGTTGTTAAAGATTTTCCAAAACAAGCTTGCTGTTAAACTCGGTGAAATGATGTCTTCAAATTCAATAATAGGATCGAAGCATTTCTATAATAAAACCAACCAAATCTTTTATTTTCCTTCCCAAAAACATATTTCTTAAAAATGGTGAAATATACATATTTAGGTAGTAGGAACATAATGTAAGAGATTTCTTATCAAAGGAGATGCATACCTAAAAGAAAGTATGTGTATAGTGCAACATGCACACCATGTAATGGGCATGAGAGGGAGAATATATCTAATGGGCTACACGGAGTTTAACATGTCACTGTAAGCACAGAACTCCAGCACATGAAATTCCGGATAAGAAAAATCTCTAGCACCGAATCACCAAACAGATAAACATGAACCCAGAAGCCAACATGCATTATATAACATGCACACCATCACTTATAATCAGAACCTTTATCAGGATGGAAACTGATTTGAAAAAAAACTAATACTGAGCAGTACAAGTTCAGACCTTTTGCATCTTTAGACCTTGAGGCATCCAAGCCTTTTTGCGCATTTTGTGCTTTGTTAACCTGTAGGCAGATAAATAAAATGGATCAAACCATTTTGCAGCAATATGTTTAATGACAATTGAGGAGGAGTAATCAGCTTCAATATAAAAAAGGCGCAGTTGGATTCACATATAACTTACCGCATTAAATAGCTTGACCACTGAATCCAAGCGAACGCAAATAGAGTATGAAACAAGTTGTTAGAAGAATACAAAAAAGTTTAAGCAAGCAAATTTGTTCAGTCAGGTTTAAGATGAATACCTCCCTTGGTAGCAACACTTATAAGAAACTTCTCATGTGCATCTAGATAGTTTGCAGGCTTCACGTGCCCCTTTTCTCCCACCTGTTGATTGATCAAGACATTATTAACTCCAACTTATCAAATGCTAGTACGAACTAAAATCGGTCAAAATCAAGTGTGAGTTATATACCAAGTGTTTTTCCTTCTTTGCCTCCCCTTTAACTTTCCTTTCAGTTTCCTCTTCGGCAAGCTTCTCTGCAACAAGATTCTTGTGTGCTGACATTACTGGACCCTGCAAACGGGCGCAAGTAAGTGACAAAGTCCACAATTCAATACAAAATTCTGGTATTGCAGTCAAGCTTACAAGGGAATCATCGGACACATTCTTCTTGATGATACTCTGGAAAGCTGTCCTGAATGCTCTAACACCTTCCGTGAACTTTATAATTCCAGGATGGACTTCATCATCATCTTCCTCATTTTCGTTGTCAGAAACTTCAGGTTTATCATCATCCAAACCATGTGATTCTAAACTCTTCTCATCGACGGTTAGTGAAACATCGCTATCGTCTTTAGACGCAGAAACCTCCTCATCTGCATCATCATCTGAATTGTAGTCTCTTGCCCTCTTCCGGAACAGTTTTTTCATCCTGTTGTCTATCTTAATCTTTTCCCCAGCACCCGGAA